GTTAGATGGTAGAGATAAAGATAAAATGTGCGAGGCCTAGGGATTCAGGTTCCCAGTAAACATTGCCGAGATCTTGCATGGAAGCATAAAATAAGCAGGAGGGAAGCGCCAAAGGTCTGTATTCTTGACTGCACAGGGAGGGGCTGAGCATGTAAGGGTCTTCCTTATCTATATATATAAAAGGCTAATATGCAAAGTGTCCCCTAGGGAGTTTGACCGGGAGTTCAATCGCTTGCTATGATGTGTGCTGACCACCAGGGAGCGGCGCAGAACGAAGGAAGGCCCGGGCAGCCAGCAGCCGGGGAAGGGAGGCCCCGGCCGGCGGCTGGCGGCCGCTAGGGACCCTACCCATGCACAAATTTCGTGCACAGGGCCTCTAATCTCTCTCTCTATAAAAGCCTAAGCAACCATCGCAACCGAATGGACAACCAAACAGGCTGCGTGGGGCGACCAGGCCGGCAGGGGGGTTAATGAGGGGCGACACGACGACCAAGCAGCAGGCTGTGTGGGGCAACCAGGCTGGCAGGGGGGTTAGTGAGGGGCGACCCGATGACCGAGCAGCAGGCTGCGTGGGGCGACCAGGCCGGTGGGGGGGCAGTTAGGGGCAACCATGCCGGCAAGGGGGGGGCAGTTGGGGGCAACCAGGCCAGCAGGGGGGGCAGTAAGGGGCAACCAGGCTGGCAGGGAGGGAGCAGTTGGGGGCAACTAGGCGGGCTTCGGGGACAGTTGGGGGTGACCAGGCCAGCAGGGGGAGCAGTTAGGGGCGATCAGGCAGGCAGGCAGGTGAACAGTTAGGAGCCAGTGGTCCCGGATTGTGAGAGGGATGTCCGACTGCCGGTTTAGGCCTGATCCTCAGGACTGGACCTAAACCAGCAGTCAGACATCCCCCAAGGGGTCCCAGTATGGAGAGGATGCAGGCTGGGCTGAGAGACACACACCCCTACCCCATGCACAAATTTTGTACTCCGGACCTCTAGTTCACTAATAATTTTACTTTATGTTAAAACTATGATCTGAAAACAGAAGCAACCGGAACAGTTTCTTGTGTGATACCTGAAGAAACAGAAGAGACACAGAGTTGGGTTGGGGACAGAACTCTTTCGCCATCTCTTAGTTACTGACAGTATATTCTTGGAGTTTCACTCGATCCACAGGTTGTGATATGTGAGGCTGGACCTTCAACTCCTCATTCAAGATACAATTTTGATCCTGCATGTTTAACACCCTAACTTCTTAATTTAAGTTGAATTTTTTAGAAACCTGTTATATTAATAGGTGAACTTTTTGAGCAGCATGAAGAAAGGTTTCATTCATTTGCCAAGATCTTGAGCAGTTTCTGCAAGGTACAGGGCAGGTAAGTCTGGATCTGGGAAAAAGCATGGAAACATGTGATTTACTGCGAGAAAGGAGGTACTACCCGGTAAATGGAGCACCTCTCAAGTGGAAGCACTTTCTTTCTTTGTTAATATATATATTTTTTTATTTCAGAGAGGAAGGGAAAGGGAGAGATAAAAATATCAATGATGAGAGGGAATCATTGATTGGCTGCCTCCTGCTTGCCCCACAACCTGGGCGTGTGTCCTGACTGGGAATCGAACTGTGCCCTCCTGGTTCATAGGTCTCCGTTCAACACCTGAGCCATGCCAGCCAGGCTCAAGTACAAGCTCTTGATTCACAACAGCAGACACCCCAAAAAATGATAAGGCCATCTATAGGTTCAAATATCTATCCTAATTATTTCAGGGCACTGGATTCTGAATCCACACAGAAGGAAACCCCTCCCCAACAAGGCCTCATGGCTTGCCTTATGACATTTTATCTCTGCCACTTACCAGCTGTGTGAGCCTGGGCACCTCACCTCTCTGCTTCAAGGTCCTCCGGATAAAATAGGACTGGTATTAGAGCATGACAGGTATATTTAAGGAGTCCTAGGAATTCATTCCAAGTGCAGTATGTGTATATCCTCACAACAACCTAATGGGGTGCTGTCAATGCCCCCAGCCAAGGCCATGGGGAGCACACCTGTGGGTGAACAAGCTGATGTTATGTCACCACAGTGAGGGAGACACTCACTTTGGGGAATTGTGAGGCATCTCAATAGAAAGGTGTTAGAACCAAAGAAGCAAAATCAAGAGGAGACGTCTATTCAGAGAATTATTGCAGGACTAGTTTACACAGTTGTGGGGAACTGGGCAAGTCCAAGATCCACAGGGCAGACCTCTGTCAGGTAGGGGCAGCTGGAACTCTCTGCACAGCCCTAGCTGTAGCCCGGAGAGGAATCCACTCCCTCAGGGAAGCCTCACTCTGCACCTGGGACTCTTTAGGGGATGGATCCGGCTCAGTCACATTATCCAGCATGACCTCTATCACTCAGTCAACGGGTTGTGGGCTTTAGTCACATCTACAAGATATCAACATATCGATGTTTGATTGATAAACTAGGACTATAACCTAGCTGACACATAAAACTGGTCATCAGCCTTAGGGTTTGGGCTTGTAGGTGATCTTGGGAAGGACTTGAGAAATAGAGACTTTGTTCCTAATTGGATTTTGTTAGGAAGTGGGTGCTGGGTTAGGTAGTTCTATAATTGGGTATAGTAATACATTTTACCTGGAAGGAAGGAAGGCAATACTGAAGCTAGAGCTCTAATTGGGAGAGGCGTAGCAGTCGGCTCTGGCTGGGTAGCATCATCCAAAGATGCCAAGGTTGCAGGTTCAATCTCTTGTCACATACAAGAAGCAACCAATGAAAGCATAAATACATGGAACAATCAATCAATGTTTCTCTTATTCTCTCTCTCTCTCTCTCTCTCTCTGTCTCTCTCTCTCT